CAGTCGCTCACTAAATTGAATCATGCGTGTCAGCCGGCACCCTGGTAGTATGCGATCTGGCTGCAAACAAAAATGTCAGTATCGGACCCCAAATGCTCACGCGGGCTGCTGAGGGCCCTGTAATACGTTTTCTTTTTAATAATCAGAAAAATTAATCAAGGTTAGATTATCATTATTTCCTATTGTCCGTAATATATCCAAAGAATTACAGAGCCTACAGCTCTCAAAATAATGTAAATATTTACGTACAAAATTAAGTTTAGAAGGGAAACTCCAATGAAAAATAAAAGTCACACTTCTAAAAATAACTTTGAAATGCGCGGAAATCCGCTGTACAGTTTCGTCACTTTGCGAATGATGCAATTAGCATCTATTTTTAGACGATCCAATCCGAAATTGAGATCGAGCTTCTAATAGTATACCATTAGTAACGCTAACAAATTGCACCAGTCACACTGATGTTTATAACACTTCAACAAAAAAAATTGTACAAGTTTAAAAACCCTTTTGATTTGTGTAACTTTAGCGAATGATGCAATCTGCATCATTGTTTCTGGATGCTATGTGGCGCTCTGGGTTATCCTGTTAGCACATTGGCACTTTGTTATTTTTAAAGAGCCAACAGTCCCACGCTGCGCCTCTGCGATAGTGTTATTGGGGGGGGGGGGCTCCCGAGAGTGCCTCTCTACGTTTTTGATAAATGGGTGGTCACGAAGTGTGTTCTACCTCATTATTTCGGTGAGTGATTAACGAACATTTAAGGATTTCATTTGGTAGTGTAGGTAAACCCGTGTCCCGATAATTATGATCCAAGAGCAATAATTGTTTACATTTAAATAACTCACTTTTAGAAAACAAGGTCACGCGTCTAAGAACATATGATTGGTAACGCGTTGGTGAAATCCTTCTAATATATTTCGTCAAACTTTCTTCTATCCCCGCGGCAACGCGCGGGGGACGGGTACGCTAGTACAAAATAAAATGCTGTTGTGTAAATCAAGATAAAAATAGTTATTAGTATAAATACAAAAATCCGGATAAGAAAGGTTACTGTAGTCTTCAAGTGAATCAAATCCGGGCGTATTTCGGCAAATAAATTCAACTCTCAATAAATAACCTCTCTTGGCAAAATAAAAATAAAAACTGTTGAATTAATTAGTTTATTTCGACCCTCCTGTTATAAAAATGTATTAACATTTTCTAGGAATATAAACAAAAATGATATTTGACATTGATCCTTTTAATATGTTTTAGCAATGTGCGTGCACTTTATATTTTCTTTACGTTATGCAAAAAAGTAAAAACAGTGGCAACTATAAAATAAATTTATGTCGTTATATAAATAAACCCTTCTCTATTACTTATAATAGGACAATGCGGTGCACTGAATAGCACTGCATGGTGCGATGTTTACTTTTATGGTTCCAAAAGCTATAGCGATGACACGAGGAAGGAAGTAAATGTACATGTAGATGGATATGTATATTTTTATTTGTGTTAAAGTGTGTATTTTTTTAGACGTAGAACTGTATGTCAAGGCGTACTATTATGTCTATTTCTATGTTCGTTTATGTATAATGTTTGTTGTAGGTTGTCGTTATGGTTAAGTTTACACTTAGATTTAGGGTTTTGCATATATTCTATATTTTTATATATAATGTAATTGGAAATTTAATATATTCTCAAAACCCAGACAGATCTGGGACTGTGATGCCTTATAAAAACACGAGTCACGGTTTCTTACAAATAAGATTTTTCAAAAAAGCTATCTGGCTTGTAGAATATAAAAGAATAGATATTCAGTGGTTTCAAATTAGAAATGTTTTACCATAATAGAGCATGACTTGTAAACGAATGGTGGTGTTGGTGTAAAAGGCTTTCTTTTCTGTGAGTTATAAGTAGCCAATCGTAAACGGAAAGATAATTTGAGAACCGTGATCTTGTGAGAGGAGAGATGAAGAATTGAATTTTGCAGATATGCTCTGTCCCTTATCGCACATATTAAAAAACAAATGCAGATTAAATAGAACTCGTGGAAGAGCAAATAAAAACATGTTTAATGGTAGTTGTACCGTCCAGGATGTTCAGACCAGAACCAGCAAAGATCAAATGCCTTTATCGAAATAAGAAATAGGAAAAGGGGTGGATAGGACACACAGTCTGAAATACAGTTGGGCTCTGTTGTGCAATCAATTGGATATAATGAAATTGTGGTCGAAAAAAATCGCGAAGGAAATCGTTTTAAATGAGTGATGGGTATGTTCGACTGTCAGGACTTTAGCTTTACGATATTTTACAAATATCACCGATATTTGACGAACCGTTTCCTAACACTCTGCTCATTTTGGGAGCCGAAAGAAATTAAAAATCAAAAGAGTTTTCAAGATGGTTTGAAGAAGTTGAAATCATTTAGGTCCAACGCTGTCGTGTATTTAGAATAATTTTGAAAATAGTATGCTATTTTGGAACATTTGTAAGTTTTAACAAGGTAACAAAGCAGAAGAAGTCGTTTCGTACTGTAGTCATAATTTGTACCTCGTTTAGTAGGCATACTGGCCGTAATAATATGAAAATTGCAATGTTAGGAGCTTGCTATTAAATAAGCCACCAAACGTTCATCTCTTTGGTACATTTTTTGTAAAATGATTTATTACGTGATTTATAACATTCAAATCATGATTACATTTTTATGAATTCTTAAATGTACGACTAAAACATTAGCACCTTATACCCACCAGCTCAGACCGTATGCTATTTGACTGATCAGATGGCCACGTGATATTCATTCAATCTCTGACGTTGAGTGAAACGTAACTTTTAGCCACAAAAAACAAACACATGTCGTTTCTTAACAAACTTGGCAGGTGAAATATTACATTATGCTTTAATACAATTCCTTCTGTTCAAAGTGTTAAATTATTTATCAACTCAACGACTCACAAATCCAATAGGTTGAATTCATCATATCCACTTTGGCATAAAATCGCCCCCACCCCCGATCTGCTGTTTTTTAATTTGACCTATTTATCGTTAATCAAGATAGAAAAAAGTAAATTAGGACGTAGCTGAATGTTTCCTCTACTTTGACATTGTATAATTAAGTGCTGCAGCTTAAACTAGCCTTTAATTTTATAACTTTTATTCCCACCCTTGCCTCGGCAGCCCCTAAATCCAGCCACCTCCACCTGTATCTACGCCACTAGGACTATTTTTACCTATCATTATTCTATATCCACGCTTTTGTTAATGGAATATATATTATAGATACTAATTTTTAAATGTAAAACATTGCATTTGTGATTTACGGTTGTATAGATTAAGAAGCAATTGCAAAAGTTAACGTCTAGTTTTGTTTAAGAAGTTAGTTTTTAATATAAAAAATATGCTTATAGGCCTATTTACAGTGACAGCTAAACACCAATCGTTGAAAAACCAACAGCTGACTTACTATAACTTATACCAGGAAAAGGTATTTTAATATATTTTATAAAATTTAGTTTGTTTCGATGAATTCCTTTTTTCAAAAATCCCATATTATTACCACTAAAATGTTTATTTTAGCAAAATTATGACATTTACATAAGCAACGGTTTGTTTTTAACGCCTAGCGCAACTTATGTATAATTTATTTTAGAAGTACATAACGTATTATGTAGGTATATAGCATATGTGCATTTACTCTTCATTAAGGCTAACAAGCCCTAATTAAGAAATTATATTGCACTTTCTAACAATTTAATAACTTATACATTTTGGGGGAGATTTTTTCTAATTACGAAATAAAGTAATCTTGAGTTTGTTTAAAGCATTATACATCACATTGAAAATAGATTATCAATGCAATTAATGAATGTTTACAGAATCTACAAAGCTGCAAGAACATTTCTTTAAAATTGTCAAACTGTATTCAATTTTATTTTTAAATCATGTGTTTATTAATCTAGTAATCGTAAATAGTGTGACATCCTAACAAAATATTCGTAGAAAGAAAACTAGCATAAAGTTCAGGAAAATTGTTTACAGTCACCAATATTAACAAAACTGTTACAGGAAGTCCATTTGTTTGCTTTATAAATGAGTCTTTTCTAATTGCGACTGTTAACAAGCAACAATAAATAATCAATACATCATCTACCATTGTGATTAAACATTTAGATAGGATATGTTACTTAATGATTGATACTTTATATGCGCTGTAATAATCGTAAAAATAGTTATATAAAAAAATAATATAACCAGAGTTAAACCATTGTTCTATAAGTATAAGTCGTTTAAAAATCATAGTATATAAAATTAGTAAACCACATTTATTAACATTATATTAATATTAATTAAAATCAAATCAAATAATTTCAAAAGTTTTAACAACATAAAATAAGCATTACAGGAGATAACGTAGTCGGTTGGTCGAGCACTTGACTCGAGCTCATATCTCGCTTTAAAGTCTAAAGAAAGTCCTTGAGTCAACCATTGGACTTGCGTTAGGAAACTAAAAGCGGCTGGACATAGTACTGACCCCACAATTTCTTCATAAACCAAGGTCAAAAAAAATTATTTGTTCATTTTAAAATATTATCATATTAAAAATGTATGATAATATAGAAAGTAGATCAATTTATATATATATATATATATATATATATATATATATATATATATATATATATATATATATATATATATATAATTAAAAAATGAACAGTCAATTTTATTTCTGATCAATAGGCAATTTTAACGTTTTAGAGAAAACGAGTAGCTAAAAAATACTCAAAGAAGCAGATTAAATAACTACACTTTTAATTACAAGATTGATAATAATCAGTACAAAATGAATATTATTTTTTTTTCAGTTTTTAATTTTACTAAAACTAATATTTCAATAAATATTACCCTCTCCCCTTCCTCTTTTGCTTTTTAATTCTATTTAGTTTAAACAAATTAATTTTAAAAGACTTTTCAAATAAAGTAATAATTCCCTCTGAACTTTTCTTGTCCGACGGCATGTATATTCAAAAAATATCAATAAAAATACTGATTGAGACATAATATCAGAAATAAATTTTCAAACAACTGTTTTGGGATCTTTCCCTGTTTACAAACGAACAGTTATCAAATACTCAGGATAAGCTTGACAGTCATGAAATATAACGAAAATTCCTTCTTTTCTCTCATCTGGAGCTCTACCTGAGTCAAACAAGGCGTCGCAGTCCTGTCTTTTTGGCAAGTATCGAGTTCCTTTTGGGGTTATTATTGATCTACCAACAAGAACACGGGCTTGGTAGAGTCTTCGTTCACCCTTTGTGTCTGGTCTAGAAAATGTTTCAGAATATGAGGCTGCTCTAGCAAAGTAAACACCTTCTCCATACAAAGCACCTTAAATGATTTAAAAGATCAGATACAAATGCATAAATTTCAATTAAAATTTTAAGGACAATATAAAATACTGGAAATATATTTTAGAGTTTGCGTCTAAAGTCACTTAAACAAGATTTTTAATACATTTTTAATTACTTAAACTTTTAATACAGAACAAAATATCGTAAAAAAAGAATTGTACACCAAGTGAACGAAAAATAAATGTGTGTATAATAGTGCGGAATATTATTAGTACTTTATAAATTCACATGCGTTTTTTAAGACATCGGAAATAGAGTAAACTACTGCTTTCGGTCAACGGAAATTACTAAAAATTTAACAGAAGGAAGAAAATTAGAATTTATACTTATATGTGAAATTTCTTTTATCTATCTGAAATAATACTCAAGTTATAGGATTTTGAAAAATTGAAAATAAAAAAAGTTCCACTTCCGGTTATCGAAATCGCTGAAAAGTTGATACTGATCTACAAATTCGATATCATATTTATATATGAAATTTCATCAACCTAGCTGTAATGGTACTCAAATTATCGTGTTTACACACACACGCACACGCACACACACACATACATACTCACACATACAGACATAAGGACAAGATTGCTAAACTATGTTTTTTCCGGCTCAAGGAGGTGTAAAACATCGAGATTTGCAAAAATCTCGATTTTTTTTGCACGATTGCAATACTTTCTATATACATTATAAAATAACGAATATTAGAAACAGTAAGACGTTTGACAGAAATTCTTTAAGTTCGTAATATTACGGGAAGAACAACCATACCGCCAAACACGGGGGGGTGGGGGGTGGCAGAGGTCGTTTATGGGGTCCTTCTTCTTCTTCTTCTTCGTTCTTAATTATTAGTGTTGAAGGGGATCGAGATTTATCTGCCAGTGGGTTTGAACTCGAGACTGTTCGAATTTATCAACCATGAGCTTTTTGCCGACTCGACCACGCCTCCAACACAATTAAGCGTTACGTGTCAACTGGTTATGCGCCATTGAGGCCATTGACTCCGATTTCAGCCTGCTTTTCTTTTTGGATTTGCTTCCATAGCCTTTGTCCAACCAAGAACAAACTACAAGGCAGCAGTTGTTTAATTTTGGAGTTGTCTCTCCTAGAAGAGTGGCTGTCCCCAGCTAACGAGCCTCATCTGCCCGAGGGTTCGAACTCGAGACTTTTCGGTTTAGCAACCATGAGCTTTACCGACTCGACCACGCCGACAATTTATTTTTTTGTTTTCTGAAGTATTTGGATGACATGCAAATCAGTAGTGGTTTTGTAGAAAATAAATTGATGTAATACAACCGTGATCATTATGCATTAACTGAACCACGCATTTGAGTAAAATAAAAAGATTCGACATAAAATGTAGTGTGAAGGATAGACAAACGTTTGAACTACTTCGAAAACTTTTTCTAATTTTTAAATAGTCTGATTGATGAAATTTTATTCATGTACGAAGCAAATTTTAAAAACTAATTCTCTTAATTATTAGTTAAGTAAAACATACTGAAAAAATTACATTGTTATGCTTATGTCATAACGAATTAGGTTAAACTATTAAATAAAGAAATTCTAAAATTTTAATTTTTAGAGAAAATTATATATATATATATATATATATATATATATATATATATATATATATATATATATATATATATATATATATATATATATATATATATATTTATAAATATATATATATATATATATATATATGTATATATATATATATATATATATATATATATATATATATATATATATATATATATATATATATATATATATATATATATATATATATATATATATATATATATATATATATATATATATATATATATGTGTGTGTGTGTGTGTGTGTGTGCGTGTGTGTGTATATGGGGGTCCAAAAATTTTGCCTTTTTTCTGCGTAGTATTCAATTCAATTTTAATATGTATATATTACTTGGACATTAAAAACAGTTATCAAATGTAATTATCTCTGGTGTTTTACAAACAGCATCAAGCACTAAAACATAAACTATAACTTGGAAGCACATGTGAATATACTTGTGTGTCTAATACATAATGCATTTAATAATATTGCTAGAGCCGCAGTACGAAATCGTGTTGTGAAGATGCATTGGTGTAATAAATGGACTATAAATTGGGATATTGTTTGATTTATATTAAAAAAATAATAACGCTCTTGTAAAACGAATTTTTTTAATCATGCCTCCACAGAAACTACATATTTAAGCATCATTTGCATTTACCATTTTTCCCGCAGTAACTTCTGTTGAATCCAGTTTTATTGATCGCTTTAATTGCGTTTACATCCGAACCATGAAAAAGAAGCAACTCATTTTGATGTCCAGGATTTTTACTTTCTATCTCTCTTTTCTTTGTCGCATATTGTTGATAGAGATATCTGTTTTGCAAACGCTCAACCTACAAATCGTAACAACGATACTCCTTTAGCTGAAGATCTATTACTAAAAAGAATTACTACGCATAGATAGCTAACAATAACATTTTGTTAATGCTGAAAAGATAGATTGTATTTATTATTTTGTATAGTAAGATTTTGTTTTGTTAAAATGTTTCGTATAACTATTTATATTCCTTTAAAAACACAACAGAATATATAAACTTGTACGGCTACGAAATTCTGTCATTTTAGAAAGATATGCATCAAAAATAGAAACGGAATGTTTAAAAATATATATAATATACCAACATTTGAAAAAAAAACTAAAAACGAAAGCATTGGTCACTCAAATAACTTTACATCTTGTAAGGGAATTCAATACATATTATAGCGCCCACGTTATTGTTTTCAGTTATTTAATTAGTGGCGCAATATTATAATTTTAAATAAAACATTTAATTTCTTCATTCAAGTGCAAAATTATATAAAAGACTTGTTAATAAATATTTGTATTAATTTATTTTAAACGTAAAGAGTTTTAACAGAATTGAACTGTATAGTAGAAAAATTGTTAAACAAATGAACGCAAATAATATGCGTATTTAGCAAGAAAAAATGGTACATAATAAACGAAACAATAAATTATTTTAAAAATATGTAAATATCAAATTAACAATTTTTAAGGAAATGTATCCTTTGGAAACTTGCAAGTTTAAACTCATGACGAATAACCGCCGCCAAACGACGAAAGAACTTCAGTGAAATTAAATAAAGCTTAAAAGATGAAAAAAAAGCATTTTTAATTGTAAAAATAATGTTTTTTCTAATGTCTTGGAACTAGTAGCCAAAAATATATATTGAAAACCACAGAGCTGTTAAAATTATGGTTCTTATTTTAACTCCCTTAGTATTTTAAGTTTTTTGTGTTACGATTTTTTAAAAATTATAATTTGTTATATTATACAAAGATAAATTGGGAAAATGTTAACTTGTAGTATTTGACTGAGCGAAAATTAATCTTCTATTCAATTAAAATAAAAGGACCCTATGTGGTATGTCATGGCGAAATAAATTATACATACCTTACGTGGTGTTAATTAGTCTTAAAGATGGCAGTTTATGTTTATGTTTTCTCTAGATTAATGTAATGATCACAAATAGTGCAAACAAATTTTATCACCACAGTATTCGTTTACAATATTTTGACATAGTATAGCCTACATTTATAACACTTAATACAACACGAGAAAAAAAAAGTATTGTGAACAAATGAAACATACTTTCAATATTTCTCCTTTACCGCCACTTTTCTTAAAATTTTCCGAGACGCGCCTAAACTCTGATGATTCCGTTTTCAAAACCACAATACACAAGTTAATATTTTCATTCATATTTTCCCAATTGGCTGGTAAGGCTTCTTGAGCTAACAAATTGAATAATACAAAATGTAATTCCTTTCCAATTTAAAATTCAACAGTTAAAACGTATAACAATTTACAATAGGTCAACCTGTTTCTCTAAGTAAGTTGAGGAACTTACCTGTAGGCACGTTTTTCCTGATTAAACTGTAAACATGGTGGGTCTTCATAGAAGCTGCTGTTTTATTCTTAAAATCTATCTGATATTTCTCTTCATCAATATCTATGGTCATATTATTTTTATTTTGTGTGTACGTTGCCTCAAGTTTCAGATTTAGTCTATAAAAGGAAAAAAAATAGGTTCTGCACTCAATAATATATACATAACGCGGAAATTAGTATTTCACATATAGTCTCATTATGCGTATATTTGTTGCAATACATTTATATATTTGGACTATATATATATATATATATATATATATATATATATATATATATATATATATATATATATATATATATATATATATATATATATATATATATATATATATATATATATATATATATATATATATATATATATATCGATGGTCACGGTCGCAAACCGTCTAACTCCAAAAATGTAAATTTTACGGGAGAGACAAAAAACTGATTATTTCTTTGTTGATCGATCTAATACAAATTTTTAAAAATGATATGTGCGAAGAAACTCTCTACCGACTATACTGTAGTGTTTTAAAATGAGTTTTGTTAATATTTACAAAATTATAGCAGGTTTTAAAAGATAGACGGTTTGCTCGGTCTAAAACTCTCGATGCAAACCGTCTATCTGTGCGCGCGCAGACTTAGCTGTTTTGTACCGAGAATTTTGGTCTCAGCTGCGTTCGTTCGTTTTGTCCAATGCACGTGATTTAGTTATGTTTATGTTTTTAAGTTATAATTAACACTTCAAAATATTTAGATTATAGTTTTGGGCTCATATTTTAATTATTTGAGTTTATTCTACTTTATGGGGTCAGTTTAATTTTAGTACAGATGTTTTAGTATGGCTTTATCGCTTTCGACTGTTTATTCATTATGTCTGTATTTAGCACTAGACTTGTTAACTGTTGAAGGTTTTGCCTTATTTATTACATCTTTCTATTTTCACAGTTTATTTTACTAAATCTGATGGGTGGTGGGTTTGTAGAATGATAATAGTAAAAATATAAACCTTATTGTCAGATGTTTTATGAATGAGAAAACACATTAATCACATTAATAATGACTTAATGTTTACTTATTTTACAAAATGTAAAAAAACGTGCTTAATTTTAAAATTTATTCCTTAAATAAACGTCACATGAAGAAAACTTAAAATGGCAACATATTTTTAAAATCAGGCAAATCATCACAATAATGTGTATTTTTGACTTGATTTTAGGTGCTCATATATGACAGCTTTTTTTTTCTGCTCCTGTACAACTTGTCGGAGGCTACAGATGATATAATAATCTTACGACCCTAGCTTAGCAACTGCCAGCTATCCCCTAATTCACTTTGAAGTAGATTGTAGCATCTGGGTTGTACTGCAGTGCAGGAATATCTGTGGCATTAAATTCTTGACAGGTCTGACTGGTCTTTTGAGAGCGGCTTGTCTCTTGTCTGTTATGTGAGGCTGGTCTATTGTATGTTACGACTGGTCTGTAGAGAAAGGCTGGTATCTTGTATGGTAAGACTGGTGTGCTGAGTGAGGCTTGTCTATTGTATGATAAGACTAATCTTTTGAGAGAGGTATGGTAAGAATGGTCTGTTGAGAGAGGCTGGTCTGTTGAGAGAGGCTGGTGTCTTGGAGGGTAAGATTGGTCAGTTGAGAGAGTTAGGTCTTTAGTATATTACGACTGGTCTGCTGAGAGAGACTTGTTTCTTGTATGGTAAGATTGGTCAGTTGAGAGAATCTGGTCTGTTGAGAGAGTCTGGTTTGTTCAGAGAGGCTGGTTTGTTGAGAGAGGATGGTCTGTTGAGAGAGGCTGTTCTTTGTTGAGAGAGGCAGATCTGTTGAGAGAGACTGTTTGTTGAGAGAGGCTGGTCTGTTCAGAGAGGCTGATCTGTTGAGAGAGGCTGGTCTGTTGAGAGAGCTTGGTCTGTTGAGAGAGGCTGATCTGTTGAGAGAGCCTGGTATTTCGAGAGAGGCTGTTCTTTGATGAGAGAGGCTGATATGTTGAGAGAGGTTGGTCTGTTGAGAAAGGCTGGTCTGTTCAGAGAGGCTGATCTGTTGAGAGAGGCTGGTCTGTTGAGAGAGCCTGGTCTGTTGAGAGAGGCTGGTATGTTGAGAGAGGCTAGTCTGTTGAGAGAGGCTGATCTGTTGAGAGAGGCTGGTATGTTGAGAGAGGCTGGTATGTTGAGAGAGGCTAGTCTGTTGAGAGAGGCTGATCTGTTGAGAGAGGCTGGTATGTTGAGAGAGGCTGGTCTGTTGAGAGAGGCTGGTATGTTGAGAGAGGCTGGTATGTTGAGAGAGTTTGGTCTTTTGTATATTACGACTGGTCTGCTGAGAGAGACTTGTTTCTTGTATGGTAAGATTGGTTAGTTGAGAGAATCTGGTCTGTTGAGAGAGTCTGGTTTGTTGAGAGAGGCTGGTTTGTTGAGAGAGCTTGGTCTGTAGAGAGAGGCTGATCTGTTGAGAGAGCCTGGTATTTCGAGAGAGGCTGTTCTTTGTTGAGAGAGGCAGATCTGTTGAGAGAGACTGTTTGTTGAGAGAGGCTGGTCTGTTCAGAGAGGCTGATCTGTTGAGAGAGGCTGGTCTGTTGAGAGAGCTTGGTCTGTTGAGAGAGGCTGATCTGTTGAGAGAGCCTGGTATTTCGAGAGAGGCTGTTCTTTGATGAGAGAGGCTGATATGTTGAGAGAGGTTGGTCTGTTGAGAAAGGCTGGTCTGTTGAGAGAGGCTGATCTGTTGAGAGAGGCTGGTCTGTTGAGAGAGCCTGGTCTGTTGAGAGAGGCTGGTATGTTGAGAGAGGCTAGTCTGTTGAGAGAGGCTGATCTGTTGAGAGAGGCTGGTATGTTGAGAGAGGCTGGTATGTTGAGAGAGGCTAGTCTGTTGAGAGAGGCTGATCTGTTGAGAGAGGCTGGTATGTTGAGAGAGGCTGGTCTGTTGAGAGAGGCTGGTATGTTGAGAGAGGCTGGTATGTTGAGAGAGTTTGGTCTTTTGTATATTACGACTGGTCTGCTGAGAGAGACTTGTTTCTTGTATGGTAAGATTGGTCAGTTGAGAGAATCTGGTCTGTTGAGAGAGTCTGGTTTGTTGAGAGAGGCTGGTTTGTTGAGAGAGCTTGGTCTGTAGAGAGAGGCTGATCTGTTGAGAGAGCCTGGTATTTCGAGAGAGGCTGTTCTTTGATGAGAGAGGCTGATATGTTGAGAGAGGTTGGTCTGTTGAGAAAGGCTGGTCTGTTCAGAGAGGCTGATCTGTTGAGAGAGGCTGGTCTGTTGAGAGAGCCTGGTCTGTTGAGAGAGGCTGATCTGTTGTGAGAGGCTAGTCTGTTGAGAGAGGCTGATCTGTTGAGAGAGGCTGGTATGTTGAGAGAGGCTGGTCTGTTGAGAGAGGCTGGTATGTTGAGAGAGGCTGGTATGTTGAGAAAGGCTGATCTGTTGAGAGAGGCTGGTATGTTGAGAGAGGCTGGTCTGTTAAGAGAGACTAGTGTGTTGAGAGAGGCTGGTCTGTTGAGAGAGGCTGGTATGTTGAGAGAGGCTGGTCTGTTAAGAGAGACTAGTGTGTTGAGAGAGGCTGATATGTTAAGAGTCTGGTCTGTTGAAAGAGGCTAATCTTTTGAGAGAAGCTGGTATGTCGAGAGAGACTGGTATGTCGAGAGAGGCTGGTATGTTTTCAGAGAGGCTGATCTGTTGAGAGAGGCTGGTATGTTGAGAGAGGCTGGTCTGTTGAGAGAGGCTGGTATGTTGAGAGAGGCTGGTCTGTTGAGAAAGGCTGATCTGTTGAGAGAGGCTGGTATGTTGAGAGAGGCTGGTCTGTTAAGAGAGACTAGTGTGTTGAGAGAGGCTGGTCTGTTGAGAGAGGCTGGTATGTTGAGAGAGGCTGGTCTGTTAAGAGAGACTAGTGTGTTGAGAGAGGCTGATATGTTAAGAGTCTGGTCTGTTGAAAGAGGCTAATCTTTTGAGAGAAGCTGGTATGTCGAGAGAGACTGGTATGTCGAGAGAGGCTTGTATGTTGAGAGAGGCTGGTCTATTGAGAGAATCTGGTGTGTTGAGAGAGGCTTTTCTGTTAAAAAAAATGATTTACTAAAGACTAACCATGTCGTTGAACATGCACGCCAAACATTTTGTAACCTACCATAAAAAAAATTTCTTTACACATAGATAAAACCTCAATCTAAAGCTAGTAGTGAATTAAAAATAATTAAATTTATTGCACAATCTTGTGGAAATATAATTCGAATAATATTGTTTTGATTGATATTAATATTCTTGAATAAAGATCTAATTTCAAAGGATTATGTTAGCCTAAAAAATTGTAAACAAATCAGTTTGGTTATTGGAAATCTGGAAATGTGCTATATTAAAAAAAAAATATTTGTTTATTATTCTATAAAATGATAAAATGTAATAGAATAGCTGAACATGATTAATCAAATATCCTTACCTATAAGTACTGTGACTGCTGTGCTGTAAAATTGTGTGATTGCAGCGTGCGACTACGTTTCGGATCAAAAGTGTACTGACAAATATAGCGATATTCGTTTTGCGCCGAGAATTTTAGCGCTTGAAATAATAGGCGGTTTGTTCAAATGATTATATCTCGATAATCAATTTACAGATTTTTATAATATTTTCAGGCATTTTGGGGAATCATACTGGCTTTTGATTAATGTAAAAAAAAAAAGAAAATCGAATGTTTTTGAGTTAGACGGTTTTCGACCGAGACCATCGATATATATATATATATATATATATATATATATATATATATATATATATATATATATATATATATATATATATATATATATATACTAGGCATGCTGCCCAGCTTTGCTTAGGCTTTCGAAAACATTGAGAATTTGAATGCTTAATTAATTCGCCCGAGGGTCGGTCTACGACCTCAGGAGTTATGAAGAGGTTCCTCCTTGGACATTTATTTTCGATTTATAGCTCATATAAAGCGCCGGTCAGTCGAGGTCAGTTTTGACCCCCACATCGTAGACTTTTCGGCCAACCGGCCCCCGTGTTCTGTCGCCCCAAGGCAAGATCCTGCCAAATTTGAAGCGCCTGCGGCGCCGGGAAGTGCCCTATCGGGCACCCGACAACTTTGCTTTATATATTATAGAGATTAGCAAATTGCATAGATAAACAAAGATTCCAATAAAGTAATTAAGGCCTGAAATACTTTAGTATAGAAATGTATTATTTGAATAGATGAATCTAGAATATCTAGATCTAGAATCCAAATAAATAAAATAAATTTTATGAGTTTAGGCCGGAAAAATTGTATTGTATACATTTCATAGTGTACGTAGATCTAAATCAAATTTGAATTTGAATTTCTTTTTATTCTAAACACGGCAGATGACGTCATTAATTAATTTATAAGCAATAGTGACGTCACAGTTTTATGCGTTCTTTTTCACATCTATTAATGCTTTTCCGGTTGCATAAATAATACTGTTTCTCTACATTCGAATACGCCTTTAATTTTTATTTTTCTTCTTTAAATATAATTGTGGTTATACATTTAAAACATCTAACATATTATTTTCAACAAAAGTCCGTATAAAGTTCTCCATATATCGCTGCCGTTTCTGACGTGATGTCCGGCGAAAATATTTTGCGGACAGACAGAGAGAGAGAGAGAGAGAGAAGTGCGCACATGGGGAATTATATATTAGTCTTAAGTCTGCGTTGAAATGACCCTCTGTTTTTCCCATAAAATACAAAGATTATATAGGGAAATACAACTGGTCAGTTTTGACCCCTTTACGAAGTTTTCCCAGATATGCCGAGTTTTTTGTGACACCCCAATGTGTTCTCCTATCACCTCACAAAATTTCAAGGGGGGTCGTCGGAGGATTTTATTTTTTCGTAATAGAGCTCATATAAAGAGAATTTCACTCGCGGTCACTTTTTAGCCCTCGTCGAGGGCTTTGAGTGAAACCGACAGTTTTCCCTAAAGGTCATACCATTGACCTAAGAGTATGCAAAAAATTAGCCAGATATACTGAGCTTAAGTACCCTAAAGTCTGCGTTGAAATGACCCTCTGTTTTTCCCATAAAATACAAAGATTATATAGGGAAATACAACTGGTCAGTTTTGACCCCTTTACGAAGTTTTCCCAGATATGCCGAGTTTTTTGTGACACCCCAAGGTGTTCTCCTACCACCTCACAAAATGTCAAGGGGGGTCGTCGGAGGAATTTTTTTTTCGTAATAGAGCTCATATAAAGATAATTTCACTCGCGGTCACTTTTTAGCCCTCGTCGAGGGCTTTGAGTGAAACCGAAAGATTTTCCTAAAGGTCATACCATTAACCTAAGAGTATGCAAAAAATTAGCCAGATATACTGAGCTTAAGTACCCTAAAGTCTGCGTTGAAATGACCCCCTGTTTTTCCCATAAAATACAAAGATTATATAGGGAAATACAACTGGTCAGTTTTGACCCCTTTACGAAGTTTTCCCAGATATGCCGAGTTTTTTGTGACACCCCAATGTGTTCTCCTATCACCTCACAAAATTTCAAGGGGGGTCGTCGGAGGATTTTATTTTTTCGTAATAGAGCTCATATAAAGAGAATTTCACTCGCGGTCACTTTTTAGCCCTCGTCGAGGGCTTTGAGTGAAACCGACAGTTTTCCCTAAAGGTCATACCATTGACCTAAGAGTATGCAAAAAATTAGCCAGATATACTGAGCTTAAGTACCCTAAAGTCTGCGTTGAAATGACCCTCTGTTTTTCCCATAAAATACAAAGATTATATAGGGAAATACAACTGGTCAGTTTTGACCCCTTTACGAAGTTTTCCCAGATATGCCGAGTTTTTTGTGACACCCCAAGGTGTTCTCCTACCACCTCACAAAATGTCAAGGGGGGTCGTCGGAGGAATTTTTTTTTCGTAATAGAGCTCATATAAAGATAATTTCACTCGCGGTCACTTTTTAGCCCTCGTCGAGGGCTTTGAGTGAAACCGAAAGATTTTCCTAAAGGTCATACCATTAACCTAAGAGTATGCAAAAAATTAGCCAGATATACTGAGCTTAAGTACCCTAAAGTCTGCGTTGAAATGACCCCCTGTTTTTCCCATAAAATACAAAGATTATATAGGGAAATACAACTGGTCAGTTTTGACCCCTTTACGAAGTTTTCCCAGATATGCCGAGTTTTTTGTGACACCCCAATGTGTTCTCCTATCACCTCACAAAATTTCAAGGGGGGTCGTCGGAGGATTTTATTTTTTCGTAATAGAGCTCATATAAAGAGAATTTCACTCGCGGTCACTTTTTAGCCCTCGTCCAGGGCTTTGAGTGAAACCGACAGTTTTCCCTAAAGGTCATACCATTGACCTAAGAGTATGCAAAAAATTAGCCAGATATACTGAGCTTAAGTACCCTAAAGTCTGCGTTGAAATGACCCTCTGTTTTTCCCATAAAATACAAAGATTATATAGGGAAATACAACTGGTCAGTTTTGACCCCTTTACGAAGTTTTCCCAGATATGCCGAGTTTTTTGTGACACCCCAAGGTGTTCTCCTACCACCTCACAAAATGTCAAGGGGGGTCGTCGGAGAAATTTTTTTTTCGTAATAGAGCTCATATAAAGAGAATTTCACTCGCGGTCACTTTTTAGCCCTCGTCGAGGGCTTTGAGTGACACCGACAGTTTTCCCTAAAGGTCAACCCATTTACCTATAAGCATGCCAAAACTGAGCCAGATGTAAAGAGGGTAAGTGCCATAAAATCCGTTTTGAAATGACCCTCTGTTTTTCCCATAAAATACAAAGATTATATAGGGAAATACGACTGGTCAGTTTTGACCCATTTCCCGATTTTTCCCGGACATGGCGAGTTTTTTGTGACACCCCAAGGCGTTTTCCTACCACCTTACAAAATTTCAAGGGGGGTCGTCGGAGGAATTTTTTTTTCGTAATAGAGCTCATATAAAGAGAATTTCACTCGCGGTCACTTTTTAGCCCTCGTCGAGGGCTTTCAGTGTAACCGACAGTTTTCCCTAAAGGTCAAGCCATTGACCTAGGAGCATGCAGAAAATTAGCAAGATATACTGAGCTTAAGTACCCTAAAGTCTGCGTTGAAATGACCCTCTGTTTTTCCCATAAAATACAAAGATTATATAGGGAAATACAACTGGTCAGTTTTGACCCCTTTACGAAGTTTTACCAGATATGCCGAGTTTTTTGTGACACCCCAAGGTGTTCTCCTACCACCTCACAAAATTTCGGTCGTCGGAGGAATTTTTTTTTCGTAATAGAGCTCATATAAAGAGAATTTCACTCGCGGTCACTTTTTAGCACTCGTCGAGGGCTTTGAGTGTAACCGACAGTTTTCCCTAAAGGTCAAGCCATTGACCTAGGAGCGTGTAAAAAATTAGCCAGATATACTGAGCTTAAGTACCCTAAAGTCTGCGTTGAAATGACCCTCTGTTTTTCCCATAAAATACAAAGATTATATAGGGAAAAACAACTGGTCAGTTTTGACCCCTTTACGAAGTTTTCCCAGATATGCCGAGTTTTTTGTGACACCCCAAGGTGTTTTCCTACCACCTCACAAAATTTCAAGGGGGGTCGTCGGAGGAATTTTTTTTTCGTAATATAGCCCATATAAGGCGCCGGTCAGTCGAGGTCAGTTTTGACCCCCTCTCCGTAGACTTTTTGCCGAACCGTCACCGGCCCTCGTGTTCTATCGCCATAAGGCACCATCGTGCCAAATTTGACGCGCCTGCGGCGCCGGGAAGTGTCCTATCGGGCACCCGACCACTTTGCTTTATATATATATATATATATATATATATATATATATATATATACTTATACATTTGAAGTATTAACTTACAAATTACTGAAATCATATATTTGTCCATTTCTCTCATACTGCCATTGAACCCCTGCATTAAAATGGTTAAGGGCAAGGTTTATTTCTTCCGCTTTGTATTCTTCAATTAAGAGTTTAATATCGTCCACTGACCCAAAGCCTGACACATTTATTTCACTTTGAGACACATTTATTTTCAATAGGTTATCTCTCCCTTTCTGTTGCAAACGAAACATCTGGAAATGTAATTAGTTTAAAGATTTTTAAAATATTGTTTTAATTCCAACAAACCAACAATTTAAAAATATTATAAAAACATCCGAAACATAGCTTTATTAATTTTTGCAATGTGCATTTTTATTTAGGAAATAAAATAACATTCTTTAGAAACAAAGAACATGTAATACTCTTACCTGAATTTTGCTTAAATTAGAAGTTTGAAATTTTAAAGACTCTTCTTTATAAGAAGCCTTCAGTTTTTTCTTTAAGTCTCGAACAGCCATACGCTTTTGTTCAACGTCCGAATAAATAATGTCGATTTGGGCACAAGATGAACAACTTTTCTTTTGAAGAACTGAAAATTAATTTTAAAAGAAAAAAAATTACCAACAGAATCATTAAGTTATTTCTGATAATTTTAAATGTCTCTTTATCCTACTTCAACACGTGTGTGTGTGTGTGTGTGTGTGTGTGTGTGTGTTTAAATATATATTTATGGGTAATATAGCTTTTCTTCGAAATATACTCATACTACATTTGCATTATTTTATACCGATAGTCGTTAATACATTTTAGATTTTTAATGCACAAATTAGATTGAAATACAATCACCTTTGAATTTCTTAGATATTTCTAAACAAATTTGAGTGTTATTCTCACACAAAATAACTTCCATAATATGATTTGCAGGGCTGCTGCAATACCTTTCTATTGCTGTTTTTATTTGAAAAGCAAATAGTTCCAAAGAATCACTTGAGTCACCTTCGATGTATTAAAATATAATTAAGCCATTTTAATATCCACAAAAGTTTAAAGAAATATGTTTGCTTATGGTACAAATGTTTCAATAACGTTAATTCAAATCAATGTTCAGTTTATTAGTAAGCTCGTTAATTAAGTATTTGCAAAATACTTATGCCTAACAAATCAATTACCTTGCCCATAATATTGAATGGTGATAGTAGAAATCGTTTCATTCTCAGCAGCTTTTAAAACTTTAAAAAAAATTGTTTCCCAGTCATCACTGATGCGATTTAAATTAAGCAGAAATATAATGCTTTGCTTAATGTCAACTCCAGCGTTTTTCAGCATAATGAAACCTTCTTTACGAAATTCTTCGGCTGAAATGTTTCGATAAATACAGCTACAACATTACAAGAGCTATGTGAAGATAAAAAGGGTGGAAATGGGTATTAATGAGAAATAGGACATTATAAAAAATGGTGCATCCATTTATTTGATAATTGTGCACAAACATTCATGAATAAAGCATGAAACTATAACAGGAACATTCTTTGTTCATCACTCTCTTCCCGCGTTATTAATTCATCAGTTTGAGTACAGAAAAGTAGATACAAAATATTTTTTTTTAAATTTCAACTAACTTTTTGACAGCCTAAAATGTTCATTTATCTTGGTGAGTTTCGTTTTTTTTTCTTTTATGATATGAGTGCATTAACTGTGTGATTGTTCTACAATTTATGTAAGAAGCTTGCTTTGGTGAAACGTAAGACAAGCTGTCCCAAATCTCACCATAGGCGTTCGATATTTCTGATTGAGTTGTTATCTATCTGATATATATTTTAAAATCTATCAATTAATCGTTCAGATGCATGTTTGCTGTGAGAACCGCGACATGGTTGGCAAATAAAGAGAACATTCAGTGCAACAGTTGCAGAGAACGATTGAACGGAGATTAGTGTCGGTAGAACGTGGGCAGTGGCGTAGCCAGGATCGTCTCAAGGGGGGGGGTCCAATTTTTACTCGGGGACAAACTTTCGATTTTCACCCCTCCCCCTCAAACTTTCGATTTGCACCCCCCTTCAAACTTTATATATATATATATATATATATATATATATATATATATATATATATATATATATATATATATATATATATATATATATATATATATACCGAGGGGTACTGAGTGATACAGTGTATGAACTACTGAAATAGGTGGTGTGTTAATGTTTATGCCATTCTTAAAACAGAGATTATTCATAAAGAAATAAAGTTTTGTAATCTCGAACCTGCAACCACAGTGTGATTCTTTTTATGAATTGGATAAGCAAGAGCTTTAATTTTTACTTTCTCGAGTATACGAAATATAGAGAAAGTCTTGTAAACGTGCTAAAAAAAAATCGAGATTTGGAACGTTTTACACCTCCCTGAGTCTAGGAAAAACATAATTTTGCAATCTTGTCCGTATGTCAGTGTGTATGTGTGTGTGTGTGTGTCAGTAAAGACGATAACTTGAGTACCGTAACAGTTAGGTTGATGAGATTTCATATGTAAGTATTTTATCAAAAATGTAAATCCGTAACAACTTTTGAGCGATTTCCGATAACCGGAAGTGGTACTTTTTCTATTTCGAACTTTTGGGTATGGATATGGGTATGGGTATGGGTATGGGTATGTGTATGGGTATGGGTATGGGTATGGGTATGGGTATGGGTATGGGTATGGGTATGGGTATGGGTATGGGTATGGGTATGGGTATGGGTATGGGTATGGGTATGGGTATGGGTATGGATATGGATATGGATATGGATATGGATATGGATATGGATATGGATATGGATATGGATATGGATATGGATATGGATATGGATATGGATATGGATATGGATATGGATATGGATATGGATATGGATATGGATATGGATATGGATATGGATATGGATATGGATATGGATATGGATATGGATATGGATATGGATATGGATATGGATATGGATATGGATATGGATATGGATATGGATATGGATATGGATATGGATATGGATATGGATATGGATATGGATATGGATATGGATATGGATATGGATATGGATATGGATATGGATATGGATATGGATATGGATATGGATATGGATATGGATATGGATATGGATATGGATATGGATATGGATATGGATATGGATATGGATATGGATATGGATATGGATATGGATATGGATATGGATATGGATATGGATATGGATATGGATATGGATATGGATATGGATATGGATATGGATATGGATATGGATATGGATATGGATATGGATATGGATATGGATATGGATATGGATATGGATATGGATATGGATATGGATATGGATATGGATATGGATATTGATATGGATATGGATATGGATATGGATATGGATATGGATATGTGTGTGGATGTTGATGTGGATGTGGATGGGGATTGGGATTGGAATAGTAAATATTAATAGGGATTATATTAAACAGTTATGATATTACACTAAACTTGCTTGATCAACTTACCTCTGGCTTGAATTGTACTTATAGTATCTTCCGAAAATTTACTCATAATGTTGACATTGAGACGGCTGTCTATATCTAAATTTACGAACAATACAATTAGACAAAATCAATTTATAGTAATATGAAAATATATTGTTACTTATGATGTGAGAGGTGTACGAGGTCGAAGGACTTGAAGTACAGCGTACACAGACGATCTCATATATATATTAAAACAGGACGGCGTTGATTCCTTTCACGGTTTAACTGCATACAACGGACACGACTGGACAAAAACATACAAAGACATCCACATCCTCACGCGACAAGACCAAGACTAAGACTAACTTAAACTATTTTTCCTAACAACCAAACTATATCCTCGCACGTCACATCCTTACTTGCCTCGTCACATTCAATATCTTTATGAATTCAGCACATTCCACAACACATTTACTCTCATACCCATTCAATGCACCAAAATACCATCTATAACAGTAAGTACTGAAAGGGAAGTTTAGTATTAGGAGGTAAGAAGATATATGTTGCGAGAATTGTGACTCATTTCCAGCTGCGTCACGTTGCCGGATGCCAACCGGTGCTATAGATGTAGACGTCTGCTTTTTTTGGTTTGGTGTTACCCCTCACAAATGTAATGTATTATTTTAACTGGATAAGCCTTGTTTTAACAGTAACTTTACGAATCCTCACTGTGGTGTCACAACGTACGTGATGTAGCCTGTTATTACTCTTAGTCTTTTAGGTTTTAGCTATGCATTACCAAATATGTCAGATTTAAAAGCAGCTTTCTGCGTTAGTGAGCACGCTATTATTTTACCATTTTGTAAAAAAAAATATACAGTTCATACATTTTTCTAATAAAATAAACGTTCACATACCTGTTTCTCTAACGTTTTTTAAATTGTCAACAACAGTTACGATGCCTTCACTTGGTACAGATAAGATGTCTACATTTTTTACTTTAAACCTTATGGATCCAAAATCTTGATCAAAGTGTATTAATGAAAATATCGATAGTATGTTACAGACAACAGAAATCAGTAACTGCATATAGTCCTCTGAAAAAAAACACAATCAGATTAAAAAAAAAAAAGAAAACATAATTGTAATTTTTTTTTTTGTTTTAAACTTTTAAAGAATTAAAAAAGCGAAATTTTTACTCAAAAGTGTACAAACATACTTACTGATCCAAATACTGACTTGTTTCAGCTTTGATTGAATTCCACAAGTGATGACAAAGTTCATGCAACTCATTTTAGCTCTCAATAAATATTTTTGGTAAGCCTTTGAATATTTTTTTAAAAAGCATCTAAATCTTATTTAAAATAGATTTAAACAATTCAATTGATAAATTGACCTTTAAATCTGAATTATTATTTAATTATTATTTAACTACAAATATGCTCTTCTAAGCAATGCTATTCTAGACAATGACCTTGAAATTGTAATAATTAGAACCAAAAACTAGTGAAATTCTAAGAAAGTATACTTTCAAAACCAAAAAAGTTTGATTAAGAATACATAAGTACATATATGCACCTCGAGATTAGCACAATGAAGTACAATATTTGGAAAGCATTTGACACTAATAGAAGACAGTCTATTAATTAAAAATAATGTAAATAATTAATTGTATTTATAAAAAACGAAAAAACAATTACGTAAATACACCAGTAATAATCAAATAGTGGAGTTTTTCACTATCTTTACTGAATGGAAATTTGTTGTTCTATCTATATGACGTTACAGACAAATAGACGAACTTAGCTAATCAAATAAATTGATTTTTTAGCAGCTAATTTTCAAGTAAATATTTTTTAAAAGCATTTGCAATATTTTTAGCTAAACAAACAATTTTACAATTGATAAGCATCTATGACAGTTCTTTTCGCATTATATTTTGAAAAAGACATTCAAGACTTCAAAAATTTTAAAGGAACAAATTAATAATATAAATAACAAGCTGTAGTTTTATATTAAAACCTTCCGATATAATTACCTGTAGTATGGGTATATCACAAGACGTGTTCACAATTTTAATTTTGTTAAGATTTTGTTTTGAGCTACTTGAAAACTTAGTAATGGTGTTGTAAAATATAGTGTTGCATTCATCTGAAATTGTCATATATATATATATATATATATATATATATATATATATATATATATATATATATATATATATATATATATATATATATATCACTTCCTTAGAACAAGACTGTTTTGCCTTGACGTTTCAGAATTGTTCGCAAGAAAACTTTTTAGAAAATGTTTCCTTATCATTTGAATATTAGGGACTTATTAAGAGAGGGGCGCTCTATTGAGTCTCCGATCACACTACCGCAGGGGCATCGCGTACGGCCCCTTGCTCGGTTTAATCATTGAATGGCGTGTTACGTTTTGCCAATATAGTAGGGTGTTCTTTAATACTAACGTAGGCACCATAGTGCTTACAGGATAGCGCAGAGCGCTGAATCGTACCATGTTGCTGTGCAGAGGGACGCGCCTGATAATGTTTTGTGAATGTCTCTAAAACCCCATTATATGCATAGTCTATCTCACTGTTTAAAACGAACATATAGCCCTCACGGGATAGCAATGGAGCCAAGTTGTACACTGCCGGGGCGCCTGAGGGTGCGCTTGGTTCGATATAGTCAATGATTATTGTTGCCCATCGTGTCTTTAGTGCCTTTTTTTAAAACGAATGTAGGCGCCATAGTGGTCATAGGGGAGTCCTGGACGCTTGTGGTCACTCAATAGCCGGGGGCGCCGGCGGCTGCGCCTGTTGAAGTTTTAACGCTCAGTGTAGTAGTAACCCTTATCGGCTATACATTACGCCCGATTAACGGATACCAATTGCTTAGGTAGCCGATTTGGAACTCTGAAACACATCGCAATCTCTCGGGCGCCGCCCATAAGAAATTTTAGTTATTTTTTCCCCACAGAAACTTACTCGGATTATTATTGTCAACTCCTCTAAGCTTCATGGCACTCGAAAGAACGGTGTTTAACCGCATTCGACTTTTATTTTTTATTAACCGTATATAGAGAATAATCGCACCCTCCCGGGACTCCGCCCATGCGAAACTAAAAAAGAATTTTTTACAGAAACCTCCCCTGGAGTGTTCTAATGAAATCCCCAAAGTTTCATGGCGATCGAATGATGGTGTCAAACCGCAATCGATTTTTATTTTATATATCATATGTAGAAGAATCGAATCGCGCTATGCCGGGGCGCCACGCTTGAGAATTTGAATTTTTTCACGCAGAAACCTTTACAGGAGTAACCTCAAAAGCTTCCTAAAGTTTCATGGCGATAGGATGAAAGGTGTTGTAATGCATAAAAGACAGACACACACACATACATTGATATATATATATATATATATATATATATATATATATATATATATATATATATATATATATATATATATATATATGTATGTTTGTATGTATGTTTGTATGTATGTATATATGTAGGCCTATATATATTGAAATTGAAATTATTTTAGAAGTATATATTAATAACGAAATTCAGACATTGACTTTTAAATGTGGATATATTTAACATACCAGTAGGATATCCTAAGTTTTTGAAATCTTCAACTGCGAATTCCACGCCGACATTTCTTAACGTATCTGTATGTTTTAAGAATTCTACAAGTAACTCTGATACCTAAACATAAACAAATACAAATAACTATTTGAGGAAAGTATTAATATTAAGCCAGATTATAAAATAAATTGTATTTCCTGCTTTACATTAATCGGGTGTTCAACTATAGGGAGAAACATTTGTTCGAAATAATGTCCATAATATTAATACAATTGATGTTTTCGAAAACATGAAGCATATAATGATTAAAAAAACTATTCAACATTATTAAAACACATTTTAAATGCAAATTAAAAAAAAATGAAAGCAACATGTAACCTGATTTTCTGTTGACAGACATCGATAAGGAAGATAGAGCTCCAATACTGGCACTGATTCATCGACGTCTCTAACATTTATTCCCGAGGAGTGTTTACGGCACTTTAAAGACTGATCTCTGTAAACGGTAATTTAGGAAAACCATTCAGGAAATAGAAATGACAGTACCAACATATATAAAAATATAGGCATATAATTCCCGTTTAACGGGTACCGAAGGCTAGTTATAAAATATTAAATAGTATTAGATTGAAGCAAAGATTTTCATGCTGCATTATTTTATGTGACTACTTTCAACTCAATGCTTTTTATGGGTACTATTAGTAAAGAAAATTTTCTTTTCTGAATAAAGAAGTTACAGTAAAATGTGGTTTATGAAATGTTGCAATCGTAAACATAGGTTATAAATCAACTAGCTTTAATATGACTTATAACGCATGACTAAATAATATCGATAGTTTTTTATCCCATATTATCTCAAGCCCTCAATTTTCTTTTATTTGTTATATTATCTAGTTTTTGGGCAACGTATGCATAAAAGATAAACCATTTTTATAAAATTGAATACCTTTTTTTTTAAAAAAATATCGATTTTTATTAAACAACACATAAATGGGAAGCTTGCGACAAACGACTCCGTGTGCAAAAAGTAATTTTTTTTCACGAAATAAAGACAATTACTTGGAAAGGAAGCAGTATGTTGAGTTTGTATTGTAAGACCAATAATTGCAATGCTTATGAAAGCTGAACATGCCAATCGTGCTCAATTGGGTTAGAGTTATCTTGGTGCAAAATGGCTAAAAGTTTGCTCAAACGCTTAGTAATCTTCCAACGTTGTATCCACAAAATAAAATCACAATTAGAAATAACAAAGGTTTTACTCCTACATCTCCAATAGTAGACACCTGAGCCTAAATACATTTATATTATCTAAAACGTAACGTAATATTATCCATAAATTGTTGCTTTTATGTACAAAGTTTATTTAATAATTCGTAGTTTTAAAATAATGAAATGTAAAATTAGTGCAATTTTTTTTCAGTACTATACATTTTTTTTACTTTCTCGTATACGAAGTATAAAGAAAGTATTGTATTCATGCCAAAGCAAATAGAGATTTTTCAAATATTTACGTTTTAAACCTCCCTGTGTCTCGTATACGAGAAAGTAAAAATGGTAGAACTAGGTCATGGGATTTAAAATAGCATTATTTTATATAAATACTCTATAGGCAAAGTTTTATAAACTAATAAGTATGATATGTCGGGCTGTGAGAAAATCGATCACGAGTTCCTGTACAGCCTATCAATGGTTGTCTTACGAAAGTGAAACGTCAGGTCGCTGTGATTGCAAAATCTAAAAATCAACACATTTTTGTTATCCGTATCCACAACATGATGGAAGGATTCTCGCCAACTCGGTGGTGTCCATTGATTAAGAATGTCTATTTGTTATTATAATTCACGAGCCGACCCGCTGCGTATCATACGCCGCTATTTAGTTGTTTTTTTTTCTACTTTTCAGTAATTTATAATTTGTGAATTCGACAGTACCAATGCTGCCACTAAAAATATTTGCTTAAAAACACTAACCCCCCCCCCCCCCCCCCCACGTGAAAGCAGCCTCCTCTTAGTTACCTTCTCTAAGTTTAAAATCGTTTCAAACTAAATTATCTGCCCCTAATAGCCGTCACCAAACCCGTCTCTATGATTGTAAAATGTAAACAGCGTGACCACAGCTCACCAGACAATGTTGGGGTGGGGTGGGGGTGGTAGTGATAGTGATGGAGAGAAAGAGAGGGGACTGCAAGGAGGCGCTTGCAGCTTGTTTTCTAACGGCTCCCAGAAGAGAATTATATATATAGATTATATAATATTAACATTTTTGCGGACAAACTGCCTACGGACAAGTGGTTTTTTTACTATTTGTTGCATTCAGACAAGTGTATATTATGGAAATCGGCCCTCAGCAAACGACCGTCGGACAAGTATCCATCTTAGCGTTTGTCGCATTCGGACAAGTGTCTTTCGTGAAAATGACCTAAACCCGGCGTGTTGTTTCATAGTACAACCAGCATTTTGAACGCCATTATATCTAAAGCTTTCAGGCCTCTGGACGGTTGCATTATATAGAGCAGCTATGTTATCCTCTTGGCTAATAACTCTGTCCGACGGTTGTTGGGGCACCAAGGCTGCCTGATTTGCAACGCCTTGCCAGGTCCACTGCTCTGATGCCCTCCGTGATGGACAATCCGGTCGAGTCTCTGACGTTACCCTCAGCACCTTCCCTCCTCCCCTTCCCCGGATTGTCTTCGAAAAGCCGATGGATAGTGCTACCTGTCAATACCATCGAATGTTTTTGCCCTGAGACAGGTAAACCAATCTTCAAAAGGACTGATTACGTTGATGAAACATTCACATACCTCGTCATTTGTTGTTTGACACATATACAAAATTTACAATTATCTGTCAGACATCAGACGTCGTTCTAGGGCATGCAGTTCTCTCTGGAGTTCTTTTTGTTTGTAAGAATACGTTTGGACAAAGGCGTCGCGAGGAGGGGATGGGTGGTGCGGACCGCACCGGGTGATGCCATTTAGGGGGGGGGGACACTATGGCGAAATATATAGACATCTTTTTGACAGTTCAATTAATGATTAGTTAGAGTTAATCCACATGCATTAATAACTGACAATAGATAAACATCTTTAGTATTAAGGACAGGCACCACGGATAAAAATTTTTTTTTTATTTAAAACATTTCTGGTTGTTTAATAAGTTCATATGATTATAGTTGTTAAACTATAGACAAAAATAATATATAGCCGTCAACAGCAGTACTGGTTGCCATGGAAACCGCGAAAAGGTGTGAAAACTAACACCTTTTCAAATCGCTAAGGCTTTGTTCCCATAAGAGATTTTAAAAAGCGGATGAAAGATTTAGGTTTCTCAAACCAAACTATACATTTCTACGTTTACTCATTGCAATAGCTTGTACTCAATTTTTAATACAAATTTTTACGTAAATGTATGTGCAAAAATTAGGGGGTGGTGTTACATAAATATCAATATTTCCTAAAGTATTGTAGCAAACTTAATGTACAAACGTAGTTTTGTAGATGGTATCATGCTGAATGCACGTGGAATGTTTTATTCTTGTATGACAAAGGGTTCCAAAGCCTTAGCGATTTGAATGTTGAATTTTGAGTAAAAATGCAAAGTTGAGAAAACGTGAAAAGAAGAGCGGGAAAAGGCACGGCGCGTTTTCTCTTATAGAAAACAGAAAAAAACGTCTTGTTATATGTGGAAGAACCATTTGTCTAATAAAATACGCTTTGATTTATGTTGTAAGTTTTAGACAGAATTTTTCTATGTAAGCAGAAAATATGTATACAACAGGTAATGAATGTATGACTATTAAGTATTAAACATCCTATCAATCGAGCGGTATTCTCAGAACAGCTATTTTCAAACCAGATCAAGTTTTGTTTGTTAGCCGGTCTTCTCACATCAAAACAATGTCTTTCTCTACTCAAATTGTAGCTTACACAAGTTTATTGCCTTATGATAATAGCCTACAACACAACACTGGGTACAACGCTTGAGGCTAGACACGCCCCCTCCACCCCACCCCACAGCTGGATAGTGCGTGAAGAACCGATGAGCCATAGATTACCAATGTTCATTCAACCGCGAATAACACATCTGTGTAGATAGGGTCAAGTACAGGGCCTAAGTGAATGCTTCTCAGTTATCCTATCTAGTATTTACATTCGTTGCTACCACACCCTATACGGAGAGATGGGCATACACATTAACACATGTGTCGTATACAGTCCGGTGTAAAGCCTGATGAACGCGTTCAAGCCTATCACAGCATGCCGTAACTAGATTATAAACCGGCCGTTGGTTGAATGGCGAGAAGGGAATGAAGGGGGTAAAGGGGATGGACAGTACATTCTTCAAACTGATAGTCATGTCCATGACGCATTGTTTCAGCTTAGTATAAAGCGTACGAAACAGTGTTTAATATTGTTCCAGTGATAATCAACAGTGCATTTCTAGGCCACGTTTCAATTACTAAACTTAATGCTGTTGTATAACTTTAAAACAACAAATAGAAGAGTATACGCAAATGAGGTAAACAAACGAGACAGGCGATTGTTTTGTTTATCTAGAAACAAGATGGCTGCCTAGCACACGTGGTTAGTTGCAGCCTATCGTGAATTATTTTGATTTACTGTACTATAATATGATTGGTCAAGCGTATCAATGAATCTCTTCCCCTTCATAATTTTTATGCGCATGCCCTTATATGGAGTTTGATATAAAATTTTACTTTGTAGAAAACAACTTCTATCTCACTTATTTTTAGAACAAAAGAAAAGGTCACTACACCAGCGGGTACACGAGTGCTTGGCCCTTAGATTGCTGTAAAGTTTATGGTGCCCCGCGGGCCATAAATACATGTAATACCCGCTCGAAGATAGCCGCTGTCCGCGTAGTAGTGTGAAAACTTGCCGTGCCGGGGGTACCATGTTTCACATCGCAATAAACGGATAACCGTAAGCTGTAGAAGTCCGAGATGTTCGGGTTAGAGAGATAAAAGGTATTAGTACCGAATTAAGAAATAAAAATTTTGGGGAGCAAAAATATAATTTTATCGAAAACATGGGTATCTTGTTCCCTTAACTGTGCACACTTTAAAACTATCATTCTTAGATTTGTTGAGCATTTTGAATAACTTGTAAGTTAATCAATGACCGGGGAAGGGGTGAAACCAACATCTAATAATTAACGATGAAAACAATGCTTTTTTCCACATTAATCAATAGGTGTATTAATATAATGTACGCACAAATTGACTCTTAGGCAACTATATAGGCCAATGTAGACCTTAATATATATATATATATATATATATATATATATATATATATATATATATATACTTTTTTTGGGGGGGTGAGGGTTAAACCATTACGTGCCTAGTGACGCCAATGCGTTTAGGGCACAGCGACAGTATATTCCTATAATTTGTTTTTATTTGAAATTTTATATGGCAAAATCAAATACAATCGTCTAACCTTTTCCAAATGCATTGAAACATCAGTTGTGTTTTAAATATTTATTAATAAATTTTCACAATGTTTGTAACAAGCATCACATAAGTGGAACTCTAGCAGACTATGGGTTATTATCAAATCCGCTTCTACGTCGCACAAAAATTATTTCAATAACTTTAAATATACGCATTTTATACATTTAAGATTATGTTTTATAGAATTATGTTGCATACCAACTATGTTTTAATTGTTTGCTAATGTTTACCTTTTTCTAATATCATCTGCATTAACTGTTGTAGGTAGTTTCTTGTACTGCAACAATCTCTTATCCCGGGGAACAACTTTTACTTTTGTGTGGGTCTGCTGGGGGAAAAATGTATTTTGAGAGCATGTGGAAAATGATAAATGCTTAGCTTTAAGTACATTTAAAGAATAAAAATCTCATTTGCACACATGTATAGATAAATACGCAGTGTTAAAATTGATATAAATGATATTTTATTAAATGGTCTACGTGCTTTAACAGTCTTAAATCTTTGCATTTCGATAAATAATCTTAGGGGTCGGCGTGGTCGAGTCGGTAAAGCTCATGGTTGCTAAACTAAAAAGGTCTCGAGTTCGAACCCTCGGGCAGATGAGGCTCGTTAGCCATCTTCTAGGAGAGACAACTCCAAAATTAAACAATTGCTGCCTTGTAGTTTGTTCTTGGTTGGAAAATGGCTATGGAAGCAAATCCAAAAAGAAAAGCAGGCTGAAATAGGAGTCAATGGCCTATGGCGCATAACCAGTTGACACGTAACGCTTAATTGTGTTGGAGGCGTGGTCGAGTCGGCAAAAAGTTCATGGTTGATAAATTCGAACAAAGTCTCGAGTTCAAACCCACTGGCAGATAAATCTCGATCCCCTTCAACACTAATAATTAAGAACGAAGAAGAAGAAAAGAAGATAAATAATCACAATATAATTTTTTTTAACCAAAATGGGGTTCATTATATATTATAATTAAAAAAATGATCAGTAAAGCTTTATATACCTCATCCTTCGTTATTTTGTCAGTAGTTATCTCAACTTTAATGTCTCCGTAATAATCAATGTTAGGTTCGTTTAAATTAAAAGCACTCTCTGCAAACAATCGAAAAATATATTTTAGATTCTAATTTAATATAATTAATGTATGTTGTGTGCGCAACCCTAATCTAGCAATTATTGAAAACAGTTTTGCCATATTTATGACTATTTAGATCTTAGGTTTGATTAATATTACTATATTATGCACTAATTTGGCACGTAGATAATCGTGTATAATAGTTCTTACTTACTGGCAAATGAGAGCCCTGAAATGTGCTAAGAAATAAAATATATACACAATTAAATCATACATATAAATAATCCACTTGCAATTTAATTGAACCAAATAATGTAATTCAAAAGAGACAAGTTTAATAAAATATATATGCTTACATCTTTATGAAATGGAAAGCCATTTTTTGATTTGGTTGACACGGATCTGACTTTAGTATTTTCTGTAAGTAAAGCGAATAAAATAATACGCGTGTATCATTATTTTGTATATATTTAAATATATACTAAAATAAAAACATTTATTAAAACAACACATTTCAATAATGCATATATTAAACCTATTAAAAACTACTATAATATCGTTTATATTAAATCGAAAAGCTATATTACATTATAAACGTAACTATTCACCTGTTAAGTCTTTCAATTGCTTCTCGACACATATAGTTATCAAACTATTTTTGCTGCATATTAAAATATCCGGGGAATAGATCTTGTCAAAACGCACATTTGTTTCTATAGCTTCTTTTAATTTTAGCAGAAAAAAGTTGATGAAATCTGCTTGACCTTTAATACAATATATTAACTATTTAAAACTCAATATATTTGCAAAAATAATTTCAAAAAATTAAAGAGTAAAACGCAAATAAAAAAAAGGACTCGAACATGTAATGCCCCAATGTTTATATGATGGATCGATAGATTTATGTGAATGTATGCATCTGTGTTTGCTTGTTTGCGTATTCTGTCTAGTAGGTTAAACAAAATTCTAACATACACAATATATCCAACGAAAATGCTATTGTCTTAGCTTTAGCTATTGAATCAGACTTGAGGCATTCGCGAATGTTGTCTAACATCTCATCTTTTTCTATGCTGAGTGCGACGCTTACATTAGTGCCTCTTGATGTTTGACTTTTTGTTTCATGTTGCTCCGTGTTTTTAAAAACACTTGTTTTTACTTCATTCCAGTTTTTCTGATCTCCGACAAAACCTGGTAACAATAATTCAAGATATAAAATAATTGTATAACTATACAGGCTTGGCGGTCTACAGCTTAGGGTCTCCGTTTCTTTGGACCCCTCCCCCCAAGTATTTTTATAAACCATGATGAGCATTTTATCAACAAACTATCTTTTTATTCTAACCGTGAAGGGAGCTGAATTATCTTTGTACTACAGTTATAAATATTTTATTTTCATAAACAAACGTTTTTGGGTTCATTCATAAATGAATTCACGCTTTTTAAAGACTAGTTTTGCCTTCCCCCTCTCCCCTCCGTCTCACATCGTCACAAAAAGCCAGACCCCACCCCCCCCCCCCCTAAAATTACGTCACACCTAAGCATACAAGCCCCCACAAAATTGCAGGTGAATTTTTCTTAAACTACGATATTTTTCCAAAATCTTGTCTCAACTCTGTCAGCATAGAGTACTTTAATCAATTCCTATCACAATTTAATAAAAACAGTTTTCTAAAACGGGAAATAACGTCTAAAATTTATCAAAAAGTGTGATGTCAAACCATCAATCCACCACCCTCCCTCCCTCACCGTCACAAAATTAAGGATCCACTTTCATCCTTACGAGTGTGACCTCAAATTTGGACGACCCCTTTTTACTTGCTCGTATATACGAAGTATAGAGAAAGTATTGTAATCGTGCACAAAAATAACTTGAAATTTTAACAATTTTTACCGTATTACACCTCAGTCCTTCATCACATCCGAAGTATAGAGGACTTATTTTAATCGGGCAAAAATTATCAATCTAGATTTATTAAAATTAAGAGGTTTTATGCATAATCCATTCTGAAAAACTCGGCTTTGCAATTCTGTCCGTATGTCTGTGTGTCTGTCTGTCTGTCCGTGTGTAAACACGATAACTTGAGTACCGTTACAGCTAGGTTGATGAAATTTCATATATAAGTATTTTATCAAAATCGTAGATACGTATCAACTTTTGAGCGATTCCCGATAAACGGAAGTGGTACTTTTTCTACTTCGAATTTTTAAAAAGCCTATAACTTGAGTACTATTTCAGATAGATAAATGAAATTTCACATGTAAGTAAAAGATCTAATTCTCTACCTTCTGTTACTTTTTGAGTAATTTCCATTGACCGGAAGTAGTAATTTACGCTACTTCCGATTTCTCAAAAAACTAATGTAAATTTTTAAAGTACTAATAATATTGCGCACTATTATGCACTTTTTTATTTGGCGTTAACTTGGTGTGCAATTATTTTGTCTACGAGATTTTATTCTATTTTTAAAACTTTAAGTATTTAAAATGGATTAAAAATCATGTCTATAGTCCGAGTTCCCATCCCCTGTTGTTTTATATAAGAATATTCGAGAAAGTTTAGGGGAGATCACTCCCGGTTTATTACTTTCTCTTATACGAAGTATAGATAAAGTCTTGTAATAGTGCAAACAAAATAAAAAAGAGATTTTTTGCAAATCTCGAAGTTTTACATCTCCCTGAGTCGGAAAAACATAGTTTTGCAATCTTGTCCGTATGTCTGTATGTGTGAACACGATAACTTGAGTACCGTTACAGCTAGGTTGAGGAAATTTCACATATAAATATTATATCAAATTAGTAGTTGTGTATCAACTTTTTAGCTATTTCATGAAATTGGACGTGGAACTTAATCTACTTTCGATTTTTCAAAAGCCTATAACTTGAGTACTGTTTCAAGTAGATAAATGAAATTTCACAAGCAAGTAAATGATCTAATGTTCTACCTTTTGTTAAATTTTGAGGTATTTCCGTTTACCGGAAGTAATAATTTACGCTATTTCCGTTATCTCAAAAAACGCATGTAATTTATAAAGTACTATTATTATTTCGCACTATTATACAGTCATTGTTTGGCGTTTACTTGTTGCGCAATTCTACTCTATTTTAAAAAGTTTAAATAAATAAACATGGATTAAAAAGCATGTCTATCTCCTGAGTTGCCATCCCCTGTAGGGTTATATAAGAATATTCGAGAAAGTTTAGGGGAGATCACTCCCGGTTTATTTTTTAAATATGGGAAAGGGAGAGCACTTAACACTTCTGGACAGGAGGCACTGTAAATGACAATATAGCTATTAATCTTAATGTGACGTATTTGACCCAGGCGTAGATGGGATAGTGTGGTAAGCACTAAGCCCAGCCACTTTTACTTTCCCTGCCGCAAGACAGGAAACAATCAAAGTTGGGGGATCTCAGGGATGTTTTACCCGATCTCGAGATACTCGGGTTGGCAGTCGAACGCAGAGTTTCTTCCAGGCATCTCTTCGGGGGGGGGGGGCGAAGCCCCCCCGAAAATTTTTTACCGCCCCCCCCCGAACGAAATGAAATTTATATAATTTATATAGAAAATATATACTTTTAACAGTGTCCGCCCCCCCGAAGAAAGTCTACCGCCCCCCCGAAAATTTCAAGTGCCCCCCCGGAGAAAAAAGTCTGGAAGAAACACTGGTCGAACGTCCTATCATTCGACCACGCTGTCCTACACATTTTTATACTTTAAAGTTATTATTGTATGTCTTAATATTGGTGTCCTTCATTACTTTTAAAGTAAAATGCTACTCTCCACTGCTTAAAAGACGGCGAAGACAAATCTCCCCTTATTTGATATAATAAAATGATGAGACAAGAATTAAATGACGAAAGCTGACGTAATAAGGTGATGTATAGCTAACAGAAAATATTTTAAATCGAAAACATTGTAACAACGCCTATAAAAGTGATGTTGAAGGAGTATGGGTGGATTTTCTGTCAGGGTGGGGTAAGGGGGGGGGGAGTGAATCGTATGCTTAAAATTAGGTTTATGGTAAGTGTAGATTTGACTAGTCTGAAGAGGTCCTCTAGTAGGAAAATCTAAATAACATAATATTTGTCAACAAGATCTAATAAATTAAAGTATAATACAAAAAATTAGGAAAATTGAAAACTACAGGAACAATGTGATATAGTTAGAAGAAAATGTAGATGATATTAATTCACTAAATACCTTTTGGTGGAAATGTGCTGTCTTCGCAAATGCATGTTATAAAATTTAAGCAGACATCTGCATTTAAATCACTTGGATCACAAGCCAGTAAAAAAAGTTTAGTCTTTTCAATCGAACTCATGTAAATTACTTTTTTACAGAATTCCGCAGATCCCGTTGATACGTTTATTAGTTGTTTGTCGGATAACTTCATCACACATGAACGATTATTCCCAATGTTAGATAGGATTTCTTTTTCATTTTCTCTGAGATATTCTTGGCATCCAAAGTAATCCAGAAAAACGTGGTCCTTTTGTATGGTGTTTCTGCAAAAATATGAGCACATTTATTTTCAAAAATAAAAGTAAAAAGTTCATAATAACAAGCTTTATATTTCCTCCAAACTGAAAAAAGGAAATTACTCTCTTTGAAAATATAAAAATGCATTGCCATTTAAATAACTGTTAAGAAAAGCATCTAATTATGTTACATTTTATTTCAAAAGCATTGTCATTGGGTCTTGACCTAAATTTCAAGTAAGAAACTATTTTCTAAATCATGTCTTGATTTATAAATTGTATTTTATTTCTTTTGCCTTAGACTTAATTAAGTTATCATTTTTTATGTTCAAGCCAAGATGTTTAGTTACTTTTATTATTATTGCATTCTTTACGATGCAAAGTTATGTATCATAGATGTATATTTAAATATAACATATAATAAGAGAGCTTTTGGGGTAAGTTTAAAGTATCAAATGTATTTTCTTTTGTGTTAAAGTCAGTAAAATATGTGATAATAAAATATCAATACACTTGACTTACTTGATGTTTAATATTTTGTGTTTAAATTCCGTTACCGGCTTGACAGGTCCTCTGATAATACACTTAAATGGTTTCCATTCAAGTGTGATTCCCAAGTCTTTAGCCGATTTTTCAAGTTCAGCTTTTAAACATGTCATTAGATATTCAAACTCACTATCTTCAAAATGTATTTCATGGCAATCTTGTGGAGCATTTATTCTTTTCTCTGATTTATTTAAAGCATTATTCATTTGTGTCAGGTTCTCCATTATTTAAAAACTGTACAGTGAAGAATCCATCAAAATTAATGTACAGAAAATGTCAGTGAAATTTTAAAAAATTTCGTAGAAATACGTAATGATATATACAAATATATAAAAAAATATACAAATATATAAAAGCCCATTCGCGCACTTCTATTTCTCTCCCTCTCTCTCTCTCTCTCTCTCTTCCCAAGACTATACATGACTAAAAAAATTCAATTTAGCAGGGGCTGCGACCCGGCCGGTTACAACGCCATTTTTCCCTCTAAACCGTATTTTAACAATAAAAGTCGAATGAGGTTTGACACCGTTCATCCGAGTGACATGAAACTTTGAGGTGTTGATGAGAATACTCTAAGTCTAAGTGAGAAAATTTCTGCAAAAAAAAAATGTCAATGCAATAATAACTATTTATCATTTAATATGTTGATATTATAAAGATAAGAGAAATAAAGCTAGTCGGCATTGCCCGTCTAACGGGTAACACATAACCTGTCACCCTCCAGTGGTCTATAGAATAAATTTCATATTCATGAATGAATATGTCGTTTTCTAGCTTCATAATCAATATCGATTTTCTACGCTCTATTTAGCCCGTTAACATTAGACGACCTGTAGTTGTAACAAGTCATAACAAGTCCATACTTGTTAGTTTTGTAATACGAATGAACATGCACATGACTCTGTGGTATGTTACACACACATATAATGTTTATACAACTAAGCAACCGAAACAGAAACAGTATGAGGAAGTAACACAAGAAATAAATACAGTCTATAATAGGTCATTTTACGTAAATAATTGCGATACGTATTGCATAAATTACATTACGTCAATATGTGTGAGATTTATGTAGAATTTTATGTTTTTATATTTAAAATCACATGTTGTAATGAATCAATACAAAGGATTTTTTTTTTAATTTATTATACATTATAAAAATTAAAACTACTATGTTTTGCGGTGTTTTTACTAGTTAATTACATGACATGCACTTCATATGTGATGAAAACCTAATGAAACAGACGTAATTCTGGATTGGAAAAATCGCTAAAAATGAGTTGTCTCATGCGGAATTCAGACATGTTTGTGCATGACCCACCTGCCAGTTAACTTCTTGTCGCAGTCTACGTCATAGTCATGCGATAGGCTGAATAAAATAAAAATGTATCAAATGTTATCTAAAGTCTAAAATATTTTGCCGTCGGTAATAGCGATATCGCTTCATACATATCCATATAAATAAATCCAGATTATTAATATATATATATATATATATATATATATATATATATATATATATATATATATATATATATATATATATATATATCCCTAAAATAATAGTGCCTTTATTTCTCCGGGGGATAGGGGCACTTGATATTTTCGTGGGGCGCACTAAATTTTCTGGGGGGGGGGGGGGGGCGGTGGACACTGGTAAAAGTATACATTTACTATATCGTTTCCATTTCGTTCGGGAAGGAGAAGGTAGACTTTTTCTTCGGGGAGGGGGCTCTTCTCAGATTTTGGCGTAAGACATTAGGAAAGGTGGCCTGAGTATAGTGTAATATGCTGCGTTATGGGGCACACAATTATCGCAACATAGTTGACTAATTATATAATTTATTCACACATACTAGGCAAGCTTACAATTACGTATTTTATTGATTCTTTATAGACGACTATACTTTGGGCTGATACTGAAACGTTTCATAAGTAATATAAAGTAAAAGTAACGTTTCCCTTTCAAAACTGACAGTCTATGGGGCAAGTGAAGTAGAGTTCACTTGTTTCTCTGACCTCGGCATATGAAGAGATAGTGAGGTCAGCACTATGCCCAGCAGCCTTTACTTTCCCTAACGTGAGTTAGGTACCCATCAGAGTTGGGTGGACTCAGGGAAGGTCTAATGACTAGAACCCGGATTTGAACTCGAGACTTACGGGTTAGCAGTCCAGCTCTCTACCTCTAGACCACTCCGTCCATAAGTCATATATTATTAAGTAATTGTTTTATTTTTAGACCTGTTTGATTAGAGAGTTTGCTGCGATGCAAATAATTTAATAAATGGACAGATTGCCCGTTTATTTCAAACTATGTTTTTTTTTGTCATTTAACTGCTTTTCTCGCACCACAAATAGCGTGATAAAACTTTATTATAAATTACATTTTTAAAAAGTGCATCAACTTACCCTACGCTTGACTGCTAACACTGGTGTCTGCACGGCCTACCTGGTGTGCTGTGACCTTAGTCAGCCATTGAAAGCCATGGCAGCTGTTCTGTCAAGTGTAACGCTTATTTTTCAAGAAAACCTGTCTATTGATTTTTATTTAGGACGGGAACGTGTAGTGATTTCCAGTCCATACGTATGAATATTAGAGGCAATGTTTACATTTAATGTCGTAGCTCGAATTGTACGGGATGAGCATGTCGATGCTTTGGCTTTATAGAGATCGGTGTGTTTTTTATACTTAGTAGAGTATAGTATTAGAATGTAACTGTATTTGTGTATAATATAAACAAAATATAGTGTGGGCCTTCACACCCGTTGTAAATTGGATTCTCAGGTTTTCTCGATGTCTTTTTGTAGTTTTTAACGTTAAAATTAAAATGTTAATATGTAGCATCTTTTGGGTCTACGACAAATTCACGAAAAACACTTGTCGGAATGCCGTTTGCCCGAAGGCCGATTTCCCGAATGGACACTTGCCCGAATGCGACAAATGCCCGAATGGACACTTGCCCGAATGCGACAAATGCCCGAATGGACACTTGCTCGAAAGCCGTTGGCCCGAAAATTGTTAACATTATATATTTCTAAATAGTCATTCGTAATCAATTTAAATTTGAAATTTTGATAAACTATACAAATCCTAACAAAAATAAAGTGAAAATAATTAATATAATTTAACAGGCAGAGATTCTTTATTAATTTGTATTTGCCATTTGAAAAGTGTACAAACATTTTCTTCTTATCCATCTATGAAATAAGACCAAAAACCATTTTCTTTTATCACAGATTTTTTTAGAGAATCTCACTTTAATTAAGGAATCGCTTTAACACATTGTCTAAACAAGATGCATTAAATATAGATAAAACATAACTGACTACCTTTAGTTTTCAAATTTGCCGTCTAGATCGCGTCTCATTCTTTTGTGAAACGATCACCACACAAGTTAAGCATAACAAGATAAATCAAACAAACGCGCTTCTGTTCAATGTTGCGAGACGCCGCGCCGCCTACACTGTGTCATAAACGCTATATAAACACCGCAATACGTCGGCTAAACAATGAGTTCAAAACTTATATGAAAAGATAGTACAACGCCGCCAACGTCACCTTATGTGTATTAAAAAATAAAGAATTTTTTTACAGCAATTTCTCATGTTTAAAAAAATAAAAGCTAAATTATAAAAACATACACTTTTTGTACTTTCTCGGTTACAGATTATAAAGTATTGTAATCGTGCACAAAAATCACATGAAATTTCGACAGTTTCTACCGTTTTACTTCTAAGTACTTCATCATAAACGGAGTATAGGGGACTTATTTTTAATGGTGCAAAAATTCTAAATCAAGATTTATTAAAATTTCGGCGTTTTACTCGTAATCAAGTCGGAAAAACTGGACTTTGTAATTATGTCCGTGTGTGTGTGTGTGGATGTGTGCCTGTACACACGATAACTTGAGTACCGTTACAGTTAGGTTGATGAAATTTCATATATAAGTATTATATCAAATTTATTGATCCGTATCCATCAACTTTTCAGCGATTTCTGATAACCGGAAGTGGAACTTTGTCTACTTTGAATTTTTCAAAAGCCTATAACTTGAGTATTTTTTCAGATAGATAATTGAAATTTCGCATGAAAGTAAAAGATATAATTCCCTACCTTCTGTCAAATGTTGAGTAATTTCCGTTGACCGGAAGTAGAAATTTAGGCTATTTCCGATTTCTCAAAAAAAAACGCATGTGAATTTATAAAGTACTAATAATATCCCGCACTATTATGCACATTTTATTTGGCGTTCACTTGGTGTGCAATTCTTTTTTCTACGAGATTTTTTTATTCTATTTCAAAAAATTTAAGTAATTAAAAAAGTGGTTTAGAATATTGTCTATATCCCTAGTTGCCATCCGCCGTTGTGTTATATAAGAATATTCTAGAAAGTTTAGGGGATATCACTCCCGGTTTATTTATGCTTAGAACTGTGTTGATTATCAAACTTGGATTGATTAAGAATGTCTATTTGGTAATATAATTTTTTTTTTTAAATATTTACTTTTTTCGAGCAAACAGCCTTCGGGCAAGTTGCTTTCGGGGCTTTGTCTTTCGGGAAAACGTCCGGCCCCACATCTTTTAAACTGATGTACAGCTCTGTCAACGTAAAAACATATTGTAAACGTTTTAGAAAACAAAACAAAACTATTTTCACCGATGTGAATTGGTTATACATGTCTACAGGCATATCTTGATTTTTTATTTACAAAACTAATCCGGATTAATAGGTTATTAGAAGTTTTTTTGTCGTTTTAATGCTAATTCGCATTGAGTAGGGACAGAAGAAGAATAATTTCTCTAGCTTTACTACATTTCCCCCTTCATTTAACCATCGCCCAACGCCCCTTAGTAAAACACCTACAAATGTAATATCCCCAATTGTTGCACAAGTTGACAGTCGCGAGGGGGTGGAAGGGGGGGGGGCGATGGCTCGGGCCGCACCCGGTGAAACTATTTAAGGGGTTACACCAAACCAAAATAATGCAAAATTTACTGAACAAACGTGTTTTTTTGCCAGTTCAATTTACAATTTTTAAAATTTAAAAAGTCTTTTAAATTCATAATGGAGATTCAGTTATATTCTACTTGGATTTGCAAGTTTGCAGAATGAAATAACTCCTCCACATATAACACTCTCTCATAGTTTATGCATTTTTATCGCCCCTTTCTTGATTATACTTCTCTCAAAGAACAGTTTTACTGGTGGACTTTTTAAATAAA